TATATATATATATATACCATGCAGGGGTTGTCACATGTCATTATGTATTAGTAGATGTAGACTGCTTACTTTATGTCGGGTATACGTAGGGATAAACATTCTTATAAATGAAAACTATCTAGATTATAGCATAATTCAGATGCAGCTATGATTTGTTTGTGAACGTTTTTACGTTCAGCCTTTCTAAAATGTATACCATTCGCCATTCTATACAGTACCAACTACAATAGATCTTATTGACACCATGGACTTCTCGGACTTTTCGTCGGTGTCTGGAGCCGACGACATCGCACACACACCAGCTGCGGACTTCCTGGCTGCAGCGTGGACACCCAGTTCACAAGTTACAAGGTAACAACGTTTACCTTCATGATTCTCTATCTGTCCACCTAGGCCGATATGTATACATAATGCCATACAAAAGAAACCGTGTCATAGCATTGTAATATCCCATTACATCATGTTTTGAAGGATTTTGCTAGATTAGTAAACGAGGTCATCTTGAAACAACCATATTGATGATATGAAAACATGTCGCTGTTCACAGATACGAATGGAGTGCAGGAATTAAGGACGAGGCTGTGGGCAGCGGTGTATTCAACCTGTTAACAGACAAGATATGGCATGGCACGGACGGTGTCAACTACGCCATCCTCAACTTACCTGTAACAAAAGACGGGGGTGAGTAAAACTGGGTTCCATTTACTGATCATATCGTTGTAGTTATTGCCTTTGCCAAAAAGGTTATGCTTTTGATAACTTTATTGCACAATACTCAAAATGTGCGTAGGCAGGGAGAGCGTATGTGCATTTCTCCCTGAATGGGGTACAATTTTGTCACAATATTTCCTAAAAACAATTACACAGGTAATAATACAGGGATTACGAGATGACACAATGTTTTATACACTTCAGTGACACTAGCGAAACCTGTTGTTCATGACCTACCATGCATGTTGTTATAGAGTCTTGATGATGGCGTTTGAAATGTGATTTTTTTAATGTTCCTGTTTCCCACCATCCATTCAACATTGGATAGGCAGAACTTTAGTTGAGGCATTGTTGTTTAAGCTTATAGTTTTATTTGCCGTCTACACAGCTCGCACAGTACGAGGAGCAGAGTACGTAATTTACGTCAGAGCATGGTACTCAGAGACTACCTACAAAATCTACTCTACCAATGGAGTCGAGATGGACTTTTCACCTCCAAGCGTTCATCGCTCAACAAAGGTACGACGGAGAAACTTAAGAAAGATCAGTACAAATGTGACCAACTCTAATATTGTATGTGCAACTTGATGTACAAGCAGAACCTGTCCACGCTTTATCCAAGCTTCAATCAAAAAGTTGCATTTGCAAACTAGCTGTTTGACATGTCGTGTCGTTTTTGTTTTTCCAAAAGGTTAAAGACTTGATGACTACATCTGCCACAGACGACATTGACTACAGAACCGCTGCTACAGAGCTTGTATGCGGCTGGGATGGTGTGTTTTACGACACAGGCAGCGGCATCGATAGTTTTGAACTTGCTGTTGGAATCGGACCGAATGGTAAGTATCCTGTGGTGGAATAGTTTTTACGTGTATATCGATGCAATAAATACCTACACCTGGCCAACACCTGTGTTACATTGTATTACTCAACCATTCAAAATTGACAATTGCGTCGGTTTATACCTGATTAAATGCTCAAACCACCGAAAATCATTTAATTGATCCATTTTTTGTTATTGCTGTGTTTTAAACATCAATTTACTGTTTTGTTATTTGTTTTGTTATTGATTTTATTCTTATTTGTCTGTAGTGAGACATTAGCAATTTGCTAGACTTGCCCACCACTGACCGTCAGTACTATGTTTTGTTCTCTTTATGTTGATAAACATGAAGACTCTCAATCTCCTGTTTCTAAATCTCTCTCAGACGAATCTGTATCACCGTACGCGAGCAACAAACTCAGCGGCGCAACAACGACGCACCAACTGACCGGACTGACTCTGACTGAGGGAATCAGGTACCACTGCAACATCCGGGCATACAACAAAGTGCAGCTTTACAGTACAGCCTCGTCAGACGGTGTGATCGTGGACACCATAGTGCCAACGGCAGGCGTGGTCATGGACGGAGTCGGTATGTTTCTTTTCATTATCCTCTAACATACGACTCATTCAATTTCTATGCATCAATTGTTCAAGATTCTAAGCTAAAGAATAATTATTTGTCATAGCGGGAATGATTGCCAGAGAAAGAGACCAGAGCAGCATGCAGTGTTCTGGTGAATGTATCAACCCAAGAAGCAATGTTTTGCAAACCGGTAAGGATTGGCAAATACTAAGCTCTATCCATTACCGTTCTTTCCTTACAGTTCTTCACGATGTTGAGTACACAAATGTTTCCACGTCCATCGCTGCTTCCTGGCACGGGTTCTGGGACGCCGAGTCGTTTCTCCACCACTACATGTGGTGCGTGGGAACCACCGCGGCTCCAAACGAGTGCTCGGTGCTGACTGCTACAGACGTGGGACTTAGAACCGCCGCAAGGACTCAGCTGGAAACGGCGTTAGATTCTGGTAAGAATCATCTTATGGTTTGAAACTCAAATACTTACTTAAATGTAATGAACCGATTGATATTTCATAAATCAAACATCGTGCATAGTATTATGTGCCAGTGTGATGTAATCTCTTATTTGTGAAACAGTAGATACTACTAGTATACTTAAACATCTTTTGACTCTATCGCTTGTCAGGTGTGAAGTATTACTCGAAAGTGTACGCCGTTGACGCTGCCGGTTTGCAGTCAGCCGTCGCTAAGTCTGACGGTATGACCATCGACACCACAGCTCCAGTCCTGATGGAAAAGTTGGAGGTCGGACAGAACATTGTACAAGACTTCTCATTCGAGGAGTCGTCAAGCCAACTCCGCGTGGAGTCAGGAGACGCGCTGGACTTCAGTTCACTCCCGTCCTTTACGTCCTCACACTGGACGGTTGAGGAAGGCTCAACCGCTGCGGTTTTGAACGCGTCTGCAGGGGATCACGGGATCAATTTCCTGTACCTAGCTGGTTCCATCTCACAGCTGCTTAGCACAACCACAGGCAGCAAGTACCGAATGACGTTATCATTAAAGCACAACCCCTATGTAAAGAACAAACGCTCAGACGAAGAAGTCCTGATAGAAGCTCCTGGGGTCAGCAAGATCGTTCAACTGTACCACCGACCTGGCCGACATGATGCACAGAGTGAGAACCGGTGGCAAAAAGCCACGATGTTCTTCACGGCAACGAGCGGGTCGTCCGCCATTTCTATAGCAACGCCGGGAAGAACGAGGGGGGTCCTCATTGACAACGTGGACGTTCGCCTGTGCAATGTGATGGAGGTTGGGGAGGGAATGAGCAGCAACAACAGCGTCCATGTCGAACTGGAGATCATCCATGGCTTCAATTCAGTGTTTGCAAGCTGGGGATTTGTGGACATGGAGAGTCCCATTGTTGACTACCTGTGGGCTATAGGTATGTCGCTATTACTGTATCAGATATACATAGGTATCCTAAGGCACAATGTATGATTTGTGATGCAATACATGTAGTGTATCATTATTTACAGATCTAGGTGTGACTTATATGAAACTGTTGCATTTAGGTAGAAATGAAACATATATCCATTCTCCTCAACAGGCACAGTGCAAGGTGGAACCCAACTGCAGACCTTCCGCTCTGCTGGCACCAGTGACCAAGGAGTCAACAGTAACTTGACCCTAACCCAAGGATCATACGTCCATGTAACTGTCGTGGCCGTCAACGCAGCTGGACTACGCAGCGTGGTGCATTCAGAACCGGCTTTGGTGGACAAAACACCCCCGGTCATATCTTTTGTCAAGGACGGCTCTACTGGCATGGGTAAGTTCAACAATGTCACAGCTGTGAATATCAAAGATGAAATATCATGTACTTTTCTTGGCTCGAGTGATTGAATAAATCTTTGGATAAGGCTTTGACTTGACTTTTATTTTCTGCCATTCCAGATGTCGACTACCAAAGTGACAACGTCATTTCCGCACGCTGGGACGCTACAGATCCAGAAAGCGGAATCAGCAGGATCGAGTGGGCAATAGGTACATGATACCTAGTATGTTTGCATAGGACATAAAATCATGGTCAACAGTGTTCGTTCACATTCTGTATTTGAACTAAATATAAAACTCTCTCTATTCTACCATTGAGAACAATTTCAATGCTTTATGTTTAAGTCTAGATGATCGTTGTTGAAATATTCAAATCCACAGGTCCTTCGATAGACGTAGACATTACACAACCGACAGACCAAACAAGTAAAATCTGAGATTTTATACCTCCGGGCTTTTTACTGTACATTTTATGTTGTTTGTTATGTTGACAAAGAATTTATCAAGACCAGACACCCCTCTGTGCGAGGGGTCAGCTTCATAGACCAGACCGTAAATACCTAATACACGCCAAAGGTCAACGGTCGCGACCATTTTCACACTCAAAGGGGTGTTCTGGGGGCACCAAAAGGCACCTTTTCACAATAATAACAAAACAACGTGCATCATCTACAGCCCAACAGCAAAACATATACTGAGTCCCAAAAGAATCCGTCGACCCAAACGCGAGAAACAGCTGCGAACATGAAAATCTAAATCTCCTACAAAACCCTTCCGCGGAAGGATGTCTCCTTCCCCGGAGGTAATAAGTTCTTGATCTCCCACTACAGGCTTGGAGCCCGGTTCGGCTTCCATCAGTGATTACACAGTGGTTGAAGCCTCCGGAAGTGCTTCAAAGTCGGTGAGCAGTCTCGTCCATGGACAGACAGTCTTCGTCACCGTGAGATGCCACAACAACGTGGGTCTGCACTCCACCATGTCGTCCGACGGAGTCACCATCGTGACGGACCCGCCCAGCACGGCGGCTGCTCAGCTGAGTGTGGTGACCCGCTCGGAGACACAGTATCCCACACGGGGCAATCACCAGTCCCAAACCGACACCCTGCTGCTGTCATGGGGCGGATTCATGGACACAACCGGCATTCTGGCGTACCAGGTATGTGTGGAAATTCTAGTACAGGATAGGTTCTAGACGACCAACAAACCTTTCATAACAGATAGACGTTTGCTCATCTCCCCGGTGAATTCATTCTTTGACAATGCCACAATATAAGTTTTTCAAACGTCTTATAAGATAAGAAAACAGGCGATAGTTTCGCAGTGCAGGAGAATACGTACATTTCGAACTAGACCCTTGCAAAATCCCAAATGGACAGTACAGCAGATACGACAGCCCCCCTCAGAGATCAAAGTAACGATATGTCTTAACCCACGCAGTATGCCCTAGAGGGACCGGGTGTGGATAACTCAGCCTGGTACAGCCTGAGCCCCTATGGAGACACCAGTACTCTCCTTGGCCTTGACCTTCAGCCAGACTCCAGCTACAAGGTGTTTCTCCGCGCCATCAACAATGTCCAGATGGAGAGTGCCTCACTCCAGGCTGATGTCCAGATCACCAGCACCACCCCGTCTTTGTCAGGTATTATTTTACAACTGTAATCATGTATTTGTGTTCAGCTACATTAGCAACCATCCTACATTAGAAACCATCATGCTTTTGTAACTCTGGCATTGGTGATGCAAGCAAAGTATAGCCAAGCTCGTTTAAAGTTTTGTGGATGCGATGGCCTTACATACATCATGTATAAGCTATAAGAAAAACCGTGAAGTTCAATGTTTTACTAAAAACCGTTTCGGTATGGTAAATTTCATTTTCGAAAGTATCCATGATATTACATGTCACTCATACTAACTTGGTTGTCAGGGGAGGCAAATGTGACCCACGCCTGGGACAGTTCAAACACCACGGTGATGATAGACTGGGAAGGAGTCTTCGATGCCGAGACTGACCTCGTGTACGAGATCACCATCGGGACAACCCTGGGCGGAAATGACGTGCAACAGTGGGTGGAGACGGTGGAAACCAGCATCACAGTAAGCCAGCTGGATGCCACCAAACACTACTTCGGGACCATCACTGCTATAAACCAAGTCGGGATGTATGAAAACGTACTCTTCGATTTCTATCGTTAGACACCACTGGCGTAGCCAACCGTATCCAAAAAAGCGTTAGCCACCGTTGGCTTAGCCAACCATAAAACCACATACAAAAGACGAG